CATTCTAGCGCGTTAGCGTGCGCTTCTGCCAATGTGTCCCTCGGTAAGGGAGGGATCTCCTGGATCTGAGGGATCTGTGCTACCTGAGGGATTTGAGGTATCTGAGGTACCTGAGGCGTGATCTGGGGTACGTTGACCTGAGGAATTTCCTGAGGTTGAGGAATTTCCGGTGCGCTTAGTACTCCCGGTCTGATTAAGCCCTCGGTCGGCATCTCTCCTTTTCCTTATGGCTAAACAACAAACAAAAAAAAAATATACTTATCAAAAAAAAATTACTTCCCTGACGTTCTCCCGGGTTTCGGCACCAGTTAAGCGTCGTCGGACTTGAAAAATAAAAAAAAAGAAGGAAAAGGGGTAGAGATGCAACACACACGGCTTCTGAATAAACACTGCTTTATTCATTCCATAATCCTTCTTATATACATTTGGCATGTTTATTTACATTCCAGATGGCATTAAGGCTGATATCGCCAGTCTCCGGTCTTTATCTTATATATATATATATATATATATATATATATATATATATATATATATATATATATATATATATATATATATATAAATGTATGTATATAGAAGATACAAACAAAAAAATAAAAATAAAGGTGAATTTAGTGTGTGAGTTAAAATGTAAACGAATTGTAATGAAATAAGAATAAGATATCAGTAAGGCATTTTTCTAAGGCATATTCAGATAAAGGCTCGGCATATTTCTTCAACAGCAACAGTGGCAGATTGGCACTGGACATGTGCTATTGGTTCAGAAGATTAAATTATCCTTCTTCGTAAGGAGTTCTCTACTAACAGAGAGCCAAAGTCTACCTGAACACCAATTCGGATTCTGTTCACTACATTCAACCATACATCAACTTCACAGAGTCACGGACTTCAATTTCAATTGCACTAGAAGAAAGATTATACGTCTGGCACTATGGACTACTCTACAAGATTTAAATCATTTCTTCCTTCTACCTATTACCTCATTCTTCTATCCTTCCTTTCAAACAAATTTTTCTTTGTCCGAAAGGGATCGGAAACCTCTTCCATATATCTATTAAGGGTTTATATGCCACAAATGATATACCAACTTACCATAACACATTAATTGCAACCTATGCAGATGACACTGCTATTCTCACTAGACATGTCGACATCACACAAGCTTCGTTGAAACTACAACATTATTTACAAATATTAAAGGAATGGTTTAAAAAATGGAAAATTAAACTCAACAGTGATAAATCTCAGCTCACCACCTTCACGCTCCAACATGAAACCTGTACTCCAGTTTATATAAACAATGTCCCCATACAACAGACTAATACAGTTCATTATTTAGGACTCACGTTCGACAGGAGGATGACGTGGGTACCACACATCCTTAAATAATCGACTAAGGCTGTTGTATTCTCTCTTACACAAACGTTCTAATTTAAAAATGAGACAAAAACTAAATGCTTACACTTACTAAAATCCATATGGACCTATACATTGCAAATCTACGGAATAGCAAAAAAGACCCAAATTCAAAAAATACAGACTTTCCAATCAAAATCTTTAAGACTCATCACGCACTCACCCTGGTACTTCAGTAACAAAACATTACATACAAACTTAAACATACCGATGGTACAAGATCACATCCGGACATCATATAAAAAATTCTATGCCAAACTTCGCGAACATACCAACATGCTTATAAAAAACATGGCCACGAGACATATGCCAGAAAACACCCGACTAAGGCTTAAAAGGAACTGGCTAAGGGTTCTCCTGGATTAACTTTTTCTTTTATTTCAAGATAGGAGTAGGTGCCGATGGATACCGACCTCCCTCATGCCTGACATGCCAATTCTATCAATAAAGATCTGCTTATTGTTACAGGCTGTGACAGGTTTGGATTAAATAATAAATGTTTAAAAAAAAAAAATTAATGAAAAAATTACATATTCTTTTGATCGGAAAATGCAAGGCAGTATCGATGGTGTTCAAAATGATATGTCGAAATAAAATGTTTATTATTTCTTAAGAACTATTATTAATTAATTTTTTTTAAATATTATTTTATTGAGATTAAAAACTGTATTACATGGAAAATACAATAAGTAAATGTGACATTGGTAACATGACATGTACAACATGAAGAGAAACTACCCATTGGTAGAACTCAAATTAAAGTTCTATATTAGAAGGTCCCGAGGCCATCTTCTTTTCAGACGCCTCGGAGGATTATCAGGGATCGAGGAGGAAGCAAGGTTTGAAACGAGAGGATTCGGATGGTTCTGCAGTTTGTTATGGAAGGATAGGTATCTGGATTGGGCCAAATCGGAAAATATGGAACATTAAGGTCTTTATGGATGATTTTATTTGTGACAAAGTAAGGAGCGTTGAGGATTTTACGAAGGATTTTGGATTGTAAGGGTTGGATACGAGAGGAATTCGATGGTTTAGTGGAGCCCCAAAGCTCAATTCCGTAAGTCCAAATAGGTCTTATTATTGTCATATATATGAGTCGTTTGTAATTGATTGTGAGCTTAGAGCGTTTGTCTAGTAAGTGCTGCAGTAGTCGAAAACGTCGGGCGGTTTCTAGTCGTTTCAGTCTGGTATGGGGGTTCCAAGTGAGTCGTTTGTCAAGGTGGAGTCCTAAGTATCGGATTTGTTCGACAGGGATAAGAGGGCTATTGTTGAAGGATACTGTAGGACAGGAAGTCATAGGTTTACGGCGAAGAGTGAAGGTAATTTGATGGGATTTATTTTTACACCATTTTTCAAGTCTTGTGATGTGTGATTGAAGCGTTTGGGATGCAATAGATGGATCGTTATTAACTGATAGGATACACGTGTCATCGGTATAGGTGGTGATGACAGTGTTGGATATAAGAACTATTATAAAATGAATATTTATAATTAATAAATGACACAATTTTTAAATTATTACATATATATATATATATGTATTTACAAATTTTCTTCAATCAACCTTTGAGTATTATATTTTATATACACTGACAGGCAAAAAATTCCACCGACTTGGTTTTTTCATGTTTTCATCTAAAAATATTTCTGCCACTTGTAAAAAAAGTTGTATTTGTATATAATACATGGTATTTGCCTTTAATAATCAAAATGTGATTGGGTAAGGAAGATTAGAGAAAAAACGAACCATTATTATTCTAAAAGAAATTAATTACTTCATCGTTTAGTAACGCATGTTTCCTCCTCTTGCCTTCGCTACTTCTTGAAGACGCCTCGGCTGAAAATTACTGCATATCTTTCGTTTCTTCTTCTCCACACCCTTTCATGCCCGTCTGGAGATCGAAGAGAGAATCTAGACTCATCTGTAAAAAGTACAGCACTCCATTCGTCCATAGTCCAATGGCTGTGTTCTCGAACAAAAGCCAGCCGTGTTACTCTGTGAGTTCTGGTCAACTCTGGTCCTCTTACTGGACGAAAAGCCATTAATCCATACTACATTCATTTAATCTTCTGCGAGCGGTACGTTCAGAAATTTGCACACCACGAACTTCTTCGAGCTGATGAATCGCTTGAACAACGGTAAGGTGCCGGTTTCGTAAAATTTTCACAGTCAAAAACCGGTCATCCCGTGGTTCTGCCTAGGCCGTCCAGAACCGGGCCTTCTATTGTAAGAACCAGTTTCTTGAAAACGACTGAAGGCGTCTCGTAAAGTTTCATATGGAACTCCGATGGCATTAGCTGCATATCTAATGGAACGTCCATCATAAATAAGTGCCACACCACGCGCAACATCCTCAGCACTAAGAGGCATTTTTAAACTAAATATTGAAAAAATTAAAACCCGGAGACTAAGAAATGTGCTCCAAGAAACGGCACTGAACTAATGATACTGAATAAACATTTTGGTTCCATAGAAAGTAAACATTGGAATCTAGAATCATTTCATTGAATTAAGGATTAAGGGTTATAGATTACCTATTTATTCATTAAAAACAATAGACCAATCCAAAGCAGAAATATTTTTAGATGAAAACATGAAAAAATCAAGTAGGTGGAATTTTTTGCCTGTCATTGTATATACGAATATATTATAATTATATTTTGTGATTTGTTTTTAAAATTTAAAAATATATCTTAATATAACGGTTATATATAGTAATATAGACAGTTGTTATAAATAGAAATCTAAAATTATGCGTTTTATGCGGTCTCTATCATTTTGGAAGTTGTATCATTTACTGTCAAATTTAAAAATTCCCAGGTTTAAACAGAGAAACCGGAATTTATTCCTATTTTGGTGGAAATTTTCTAATTTTGACGTCATATTCGTCTTCCTTGGCCTGGATAACACAAGTGTACTAAATATCAAGTTAAGCTGACATAATTTAGATGTTCTATAATCCATGAAAACCTGTCTTTCATTCCAGTGTGCACTGCTGTACTTTTTTTAGACATTGTATATTTTAATTTTTATAATCACTAACAACTATTTTTCTTTTCAAAAATGAGCAAATAGGCAAGAAAGCAAAGTGTTGTGGGATTATTGCTCTAATTTTGGATTGCTATGTTCTGAAGGGAAAGCATAAGTCCCGTTTATTAAAAGTTGAATAAAAAGGTTAAAATAAATTTTTGAAAGCTAAGATCTGGCAGGGTGACTCAAAATAGCATTTTAAACAAATTTATGCACACAAAAAAAAATCCATTTTTTTTAATGTCTTTTTGGATTTCAGGATGCACCATTTGGCAGAAACAGAGGAATGACCTCATGCAGTCTCCTTAACCCTTGTTAATGCATGCATCTTTCTGCCATCTTCATGATTTTTAAATTATAAAATGTCATTATAATGGTGTATTTATTTACACATTTATCTAGATCAAATATAAACCTTTATTAAGTGTGTATGCTTTGAAAAAATTCAAATGTATTAGTTAGTACCTTTGGAAAGATAATATTCCTTTTTCTGATAATAATAATAAATTATACATTTGCTAGACCTGAAGGTAATAAAAAAATAAATGAAAGTCATAAATATATTTTTGCAAAATGATATCTATTTCAGGAAATAAGAATATGGCACAAGCTTTTGCTATATGTGTATTTCATTATTTACACTTAGAATTAATGGAATCATTTTAATTAACATACTCCAAGGCCATCACTAATAAGTAATTACCATATTGTTTCCTATGACAATATAATCAGCAGTGAACTCAGTAGTCTAAGATTCTGAATAACATAATTATTCATTAGAGCATGTAATGATGCAGCAAAGGTGCTGGAAGCCTCATCCTTTAATCTTGTAATCCAATTGGATTGTATTATATTTGTATGTATGTATTTTAAGTATTTATTCCAATTAGATATACTTGGAATATATTAATAAATATTTATATCACCAACATACAAGTAAACAAAAGATACAAAATTTCATTTGTTTATAGGTTAAAAAATACAATTGTAATGGTTTATTGTGATCTATTTTCCTGTTCTATTTAAATTAAATGGTTTATTAAATAATAAATACACAATACCACTAAAATAATGTACAAACAATTAAAGGAATCTTAGAAACATAATCTATGTATATATTTTGTAAAATACATATTTAACCAATGTTTAGTTTACTGTACACTGTTTTTACTTTTTAAAATAAAATCATGAAACTACAGGCTGTGGTGGGTTAGGAATTGCAAATTCATTGAGTTCTAATTCATAATATGAATAAGCTCTATAGGTTTTAAGTTCCCAAGGCACTTGGTCTTCCATCCGAGTAAGAGTAACTCCCAAATCTTCAAGGGTTTCAATTCCAGGAACGACAACATCAGAATGACATTCCTGCAACAAACTTACAATTTTAGTAATAAAAATAATTGTATAGAATTATATATATATATATAAAAAAGGAGTAAATTATATATTAAAACCAAAACTTTAGTATTCATTAAAAAAATCAAAAACTAAATTATTAATTACTTAAATAAACTGTATAAAAAATTAGTTGCGGTGGTCAGTCAAAAAAGAAGGCAAAAATAAATGATAATATTTATTTTTACATATGCCGACGTTTCGACCTGAAGTTCAGGCCTTCATCATATCATATTTATTCATATTCATCATATCATATCATATACGGCCTTCATCATATCATATTTTTGCCTTCTTTTTTGACTGACCACCCCAACTATTCTTCTCTTCATTTCTGTATAAAAAAAATTGCATATTTATTTATTGAAATTGCATACCCTTTCAACCTTTTCCCAATGTATGTTTCCTTTGGGATATGTACCAAGAGTTAGCTTAGGTAACAATGAAACTCGGAGCTGAAATAGAGGATCGAATCTCAAGTCATATCTGTAATAACCCCACTCGTCTGACTTGTTAATGATGCGGTGAAACCAATCAACTAATTCTGAAAGTTTGTACCTAGTAGGACTGAAATGAAAATTGCTTTTAATTTCAAGTATAATGGAAGCAAATGAAATTAAGCATTTAAGTAAATAATATTATATTATTGAAATTAAAATTTTAACTACTGAGTAATTAAATATATTGCCAATACAAAGCAACGAAAATTATTTTTAGTGTTGGCGATACAACTTTAATTAATCTATCAAACTTTATTTAATAAATACATTATAGTTATTCAGCTTTTTTTTCTTCAAATTTAAACCTTAAGAAAAATTTACTTATACTTCCAGGACGGTAAGTAAAAATTGTACTTTAAAGGCAACATTCAAAGAACTAAGTTAATTTATTTTTTGTTACTGAATTTTTCTTGAAAAAAGAAATCATTAATGGGAGACATGTTGTTATAGATGAATAATTGATAAGTGTGGAAAAATACACACCCTACTGCTTGGTATATCTTGCCTTTAAGATGCTTTTCTTTACAAGCAGCAACAATACCTGCTGCAACATCTTCAACAAAAACTGGTTGTTTTATAGAATGCTCCCCACTTCGGTACAAAGGCATCATTTTACCTTGATGTCGCCAAAAACTGCAATAGTACCTGCAATTATTTAAAAATATATCTTATTAAAACTTGCCACATAAGAATATTCATGGAAAAATTAAACAGTAAGATTCACTACTTTTATTTTATAGATTCTTTTTTTTGTAAAAATTTCAATAAATTATTTATTAGTAATGAAGATTATTTTTAAGTTATCATTTATTTTGCTAAAGAATCCTTAATAAAGATTGAAAAAAAAAAATCAAATAAATAAACATTTACAATTGTGTATATTTATATTTATTTAATTAGATAACAGAAACATCTTTTGTAAGCATATAAAATGATTGGAAATACAAATTCCTTGAAAGTCAAAAGAAAATGAAGTATTACCTTAAAAAACTATCTTCTTGGCCATAAATATCGGCAGGTCGAAATATAATTGCTTCAGGAAATTCTTCTTTTACTGCCACCTCTCCACGCCATTTGCTGGCCAGAAATTTAGAACCACCATCCATCATGTATTCCTAGTATCAGCACCAAATTTAATAATTTATAATAAAAAATAAACTTAGATAATCAAAGTAAAGTAATAATATTTATAAATGAGTAACTGTCAACAGAGAGCACAACTTATGATACATGATATGAGGAGTCTTATGATAAAGATTAAGGTGTAGAACAGAGTCCACTTATGCTCCCAGGAGAAGTGAGTGGCTAAATGAACAAACAATTATAGGTTAAATAACCAAAATTAAGGTTAAAAAAAATTATGCCTAACTGAACTAACTTCACACACCAATTCTTCCAGAAACACTAAGATATTTTTATTTATTAATATCAATTAACTAATTATTGAAAATGCACAACTTAAAATAAATAAGTTAATATTTTTTTATAGATAAGTCAAAGCGTGTTTATAAAATATTTATAGATTTTGTTTATAATTATTGTAGATAATGAATTAAGTAATTAAAATATACCTCAAGATCAAAAATTGTTTAACCTTTAACTACAAAATGACTAAGATAATGGTGAATTATCAGTAATGTTTAATGTAAGAAAAAATATTACAAGATCCTGAAGATGAGTTATGATTCCTAGAAATAATGAGTTTAATTTATATAAAATGGACAATAAGTAATATAAAAAAAGAAAACTGTTCACAAATTACTTATACATAGAGTAATAAATCTTCTTTAAATTATAAAACAATTATAAGGTTTGATAGAATTGATATATAGCATTTCCAAGTCAATTTCAACCTTTTCCGAATCAAATTAAACCTTTTCCAAGTCAAATTAAACCTTTTCCATTTCAAATTTAAACTTTTCCAAGTCAAATTCAACCTTTTTTATTTCAAATTCAAATTTAGAATTTTTTTAAATTTTCTCTTTTTTCAAAATAAATGCCACTTGCTATATTATGGAAGGCATAGCTTTAGAAAAAAAAAAAAAAAAATGTGATAACTCAGTTCCATATCCAATTATTTTTACTTTTCGGATTTTTCCGGTATAATATTTCTATGTCATATTAAGTTTTTTCCAAGTCAAATTCAACCTTTTCAAATTTAAATTCAACTTATTCCAAGTCAAATTTAACCTGCTCTATTTCAAATTAAACATTTTCTAACTTAAATTCAACCTTTTCCATTTCAAATTAAAGTTTGAATTTTTGATTTTTTTTTTCAAAATAAGCCCCATTTTCCAATATGAGTGTCTATTATGAGAACTTATTCGATAAAAGGGTTTAGTATTATGGGTATTAGTATTATCGCATGCCTAGTTTTTGAAAATATTCTTCATTTTATGATTAAGCCAGTTTGGACGCCACCGAAATTGGACTTATTTAAGTTATTCGGATTTATTCGATATGAGGGTGTATTCTTATGTGTTCAGAGACGTAGCTTTTGAAAATGACCTGCATTTTATGATTACGCCACTGCGTTTCGACGTATTTAAGTTTTTCTGATTTATTCGATATAAGGGTGCATTCTTATGTTTCTGGAGCCACAGATTTTGAAAATGACCTCCATATTAAGATTACACCTCTACATTTCAACTTACTTCATTTTTTCGAATTTATTCGATGTAAGGGTCCACTTATATATTATCAGAGACATAGTTTTTGAAAATGAGCTCCATTTTAAAATTATGCCAATGTGTTTTCGTTTATTTACGTTTTTTGGACTTATTCTGCGTAAGGATAATGGATATATAGCCATTTTTATGTTTAGCCTTTTTTATATTAGAATTATATGCTATCGGAGACGTATTATTTGAAATTTATCTAATATTTAATCTCCATTTCAAGATTACGCCGCTACATCTCGATTAATTAAGCTTGATTTTGGATTTTTTCAATACAAAGTTTCATCAATATGTTTTCAAGTATGAATAAATAAAGATTATGAAACTAAGATTAAATTAATCACAAAACACAAAGTAAAAAGCTGAAAAAGCAACTGGAAATAAATTTAACCTACCATTTTCAGATTTTTCATCTAATTGTTCGAAATTCCTATCTAATAATTTTTTAAGAAGATACCCTAACATTAAAAAAGAAAACTAAAATTAATTTTAAAATGAGAAAATAGATATTTTATTTATTTCGGCTAAAAAATAAATTAATTGTTCGTATTTTTTTTAATTCGAAGGAAAAATCACAAAAATCGAAGCACAGTGTCCTAATCTTAAAATGTAGGTCATTTTAAAAATCTATGGCTCCGGAAACATAAAAATACACCCTTATATCGAATAAATCCGAAAAGCGTAAATATGTCGAAACGCAGTGGCGTAATCTTAAAATGGAGATTATTTTCAAAAACTAACCATACGATAACTGACCCATACATCGAAAAATTAAAAATAATTGAATAAATAAAAAAAAGTGTTTAATTTGATTTGGAAAAGGTTGAATTTTACTTGGAAAAGGTTGAAATTGACTTGGAAATGCTATACATTTTATAGGCACAAACAAAAGATTAAAAAAATTATTTAAATCGGATATCCTTATTGCTATAATTAAGTATGCACAACTAGAATCTACAAACTTGGCTCAACCATAAAAAGGTAGACCTAGACTGGTACTAGTACTGTAAGGGAGAACTAGTCCAGCAAGTGTACATTTTGGCCCTTTTCGTCAACCATTGACCTAATATCTAATTAAATACAAGATGCAACTTACAGGAGGATGTTCAGAGGCATTTAATGCAGACACATGAATAAATGTTTCCACTCCTGCTGCTTTTGAAACTTTGGCTAATTTGCGAGCACCTTCAACATGAACTCGATCAAAGGTAAAGTTTTTTGTTTCCCAATCTCTTCCAACTAAATTAATTACAACATTTGAATGTTTTACAGCCTTAAAAATTGAATCTTCATCTAACAAATGGTAAGGTTGAAAAAGTACTTGACCCAGATCTCCAACAAGTTTTAAACTACGCACATGATAGGGATCACCTCGATATGGAAGTATTAACTAAAAACAAAACCACAAAATTAAATTTGTATTTTATAAGTTAACTACAAATGGAATATTATTAAATAAATCAAAAATATGTTATTATGTATTGTATTAAGATAATCAATTACTGACTAAGTTTCCTTGTTGGTTGGTGTCATATATATCTGTGAGTGCTTTATATTTGAAAAAAAAAAAAAAAAATTATATATATAAAAGAAGAAGCAAACCTGATCCAACTTGTGCAGAAAAGGATAATATATGACCCTGAAATTCATTTAACATTTTTTCGACCTCCAGACTGCATGCTACAGTATTCGTTTGAAGAAACTCCGAGAAGGATTAAATCCGAAAAAAGATAAGTTGGGGTCTCAAGTCAAAGAGTTGATAAATTTGAGCTGAGGCTAGACTAAAGTTCAGATAGAGATTTACAGAATCTTTCCTAATTATAAAAGGTTTGAAACAGGGATGTTGCCTCTTCTCAGCAATTTCAATATCTATAATGAACATATCCTGAAATGATCGCAACAGAAGAAGTGAGGAATGATTATTGAGGTTAGTGATAACATACAGTTTGCAGATGATTAGGTCGTTATATAATAGCAGGAGTATTATATAAAATTTATGATGAGAGTATACAAAGCCTAGATATATACAAGTGGTGTCTGGAGGTAAGTACAAAAAAACAGAATACTTGTTTTTTTCATATGAATCAGAAACATAGATAATGACCAAAAGATTTGCAAACTATCGGTACTAGTAATGGATATTTGATAAAGAAGTCATGGCTTGTCCAGTTTCTTAATAATAACAATTTTAATCAATCCTTAAAAACTTATGATTAGTTATCAATTGTTGATTATCAAGTATAAGAGGGCAATAAGCAATAAGACAAAACCAAACATAATTATATATTACTTTATGATAGCCATCAAGTTTACTAATAAAATATGGTTAGGTAAATATAATACCTGTGTGCCAATTTTTCCAAGTTTATTACAAACATATGCTCCAAGGAATCCAGACGATCCAAAAACTGTTGCAACAATTCCATTAAAACTTGATCGACCACCAGTTCCTCTTTTAAGGGATGATAAATTAGTGTTTTTTATATAATTAACACCTTCACTAAAGCGGCGATGCACAATAAGTTGTCTTGGCACAATATCTGTAACGATAAAAAGGAAAACAATCCATTTTTATTTTTAGATTTGATTAATTAATATCAAGCACAGTGGTGATATTGAACATTACAAATATTTAGTAGATTACAGAAAAGAAAATAACATTATCATATAAATAATATCTGGTTTTTAAGTAGTAAACTCAAATAAATATGTTCTCCTGAAAATAATTCATGTGATCCAAATCACCACTGAACACTAAGAATTATCTATTCTCATCCTACTACACTTATTTAAAGAACTTTCTATTGTTGATCCTAATATCTCGTTTACCAAAATAGAAAGTTCCTTTTTGGACAATAGTACCATACACTGGATCAAATTATTTTTCACGAATCATTTGAAGTATGTATTTGCATAACCTCATGTTTCTTCTTTTCACCTTTGTATTTGCCATTTCGATTTATGACCTTGGCCTTTCCATCGATCATTCCTAAAATTTACACAGATGATTTCAAAATATACTTATCCTTTCAAGCTATGAAAAAAATCCGGGATCTTAATCAAATGAGTTATTAGCCATTGGAAAATATTAACCGTATAAGTTGTAGAGAACAAGTTAAAATTGAAAGCAGAAAAGATAAAATGAGTTCAATTAACCTCCATAAAATCACTTCAATGCACTTCCTTCTATTCCTAATTTTTATATAGAAATGTTGTGACTTGGGTAAACTGATAATGACTAAGAAAATTAATACTTGGAAGAAACTTTTTAATTGATAACATACAGTTGAAAAATGGGTACAACATATAGTTAATGAATCACTTCTAAAGATAAATAATCCCTCTTTAAAAACAGGTAGATAATCATACTAATAGCTTCACTACACTCTGCAGCATTTAAATAAAAGTCGATGAAAGTAATAATGAGAAAAATAGTGGAGAGGAGCTTGCTACACAGACGATCTGTGAATTGCAAGTTGATAAGAACTGGGTTCTGGAGTTACATGTGGCCTTTGGTAATTACCCATAAGAGCTGGAACTAGCTGCAAATTAACTTGAACACCTAAAGTGGGCGGTTCGGCAGGTATTGGAATTCCAATTATTTGTGTTGAATTATGCTCTACTCCAAAATTCATAAGTTTTCATTGTATCAGAGACAATGGTAGTTGATTATGAAAACTAGGAACAATGTACTAATTTAAACTAAGCCCTGAATTCAATTCGATGATGGAGTGGTACTGTCCCAGCTTCCTGATTATTGTGCCAAACTGCCATACATCCTAATTAATCTACAGGACCCTCATTTGGACTCTCTTCCACTAAAATAGAACGGACTCACCCAGCATTATAGGTCCGCAACATTTGTGCTTTTGTATTAAAATAAAGAGCATCCAGATGAATTTTAATTCTTCTTTTTAAGTAGAGAATTAATAAACAACTGTGACACACCTCTCATTGTTAGTAATGATTATAGAATTAAAACTATGGCATCAACACAGAGTTGTTTTTTAAAGTAGATTATCATTTAATCAAAAGTTGAAGACACCCAAGGAGTTCAAGAAGATACATTTAAATATTAAGAATTCTGAAAACTAAGAAGATAGGCACAAACATGACAGTGCCGATAAAAGAGAATAGAACTTGATATGATATAAAAGGCAGAACAGGTATTCAAGAATGACAGCTGGAGAAAAAGGAAAATAAGATTTATCTCCTGACATAAAAAAAACTCAAATAGCAGTTCAGAACTTGTATCTATCAATATATAAAGAATTATGATAAACAGTAGGAAAGGAGTCAGTATTCTGCTATATTCAAATGTTTCTGTATAAGAGGTTTAACTAATATAAAAATTACCAACTCAACATGAGAAAGTGATTGCCACAAGTTAGAGCGATAATCCAGATTTTCCAGTTTTGAATGTTGTGGTTTCGAATCCCACCAGCATTATTTAATATGGTACTTGTTGGTTAGGAGGCCTGGACGAAACCTCCCTTGTCTAATGTTACATTACATAACCTCCCTTTTTATCTCATCAAAGCTTCGAGTTATTCCATTGTTTATTTTTGTTCCATTTCTGTTATTTTCGTCAAATTATGGATGTTATTACATTCTGGAAATTACCGTCTTCAGAGGAAGAGGCTATTGAATATTTTCAAAACGCTCGGATAATTCCAAACGTTAAATTGTGTCAAGAAGGTCATCAAATGAAGTTAGACAGGAAGGCGAAATGAAGATGATTTGGTACCACTTGTAACGAAAAAGTTTCAATAAGGAAAGAAATGTGGTTAGAGGGGTAGAGGATTTCGTTGTTTATATTGTTTCTTTTATATGTACATATGTTGTTTAAGTGTTTTTTTATTATTACATTTATTTTTGTATATTTCATATAAGTGTTGTAAAATTAAAATGTTTTCTCATTGTTGTAAGGGGGAGAGGGCATTTCTTTTTGTCTATTTCAATTTCAAACCAAACTGCTTTGTTATTAATACATTTTTTTTTTTTTTTTTTTGTCTATTTAATGTATGTGTTGTAAAATAAAAACATTTTTTTATTATTACATTTGTTTTTGTTTACAATTTCAATAATACAATAAATATAAATTATGAGAAGCCTTATCAGAATTATCAGTGTTCAGGTTATACAGTGATGGAAAAAAAGTATTTGCACATCATGTTTTTATGAATAAATGAGTTCAAGGAACCAAAAAACTTCGCTTTTCTCTGCAAAAATCAAAAGTACATTTGTTAAAAACTGTGAAAAACCTTTTGGAAAAAAAATGACAACACTCCATAATGAAACAAAAACATTAAAACAATAAAAGTGCTTGGAAAAAAGTATTTGCACACTATGACTCACAAGCTCTGTTTACTTGGGCATTAATCGTCCTGTGTCCATAGGTCATAGGTTTGTTTACTAATTTATTTCTAATCATTCATTACCAGTATTCTCTAGTCTTTCAATCAGTTTCCTTTATTCAATAGACAATTATTATGCCAAAGACAAGTGAACTGTGTGCCGCAACTCACGAAAAAATTGTTTTACTGAGGATTCAGCAAAAAACATATCGCCAAATTGCCGATTTCTTAGGGTTGAATTTTTCTACAGTGAGATACGTCATAAAAAGATATGAAAAACGTGGTTCAACTGAAAACAATGAGCGTAAAGGGCATCCAAAAAAGTTAACTCCCAGGCTGAAGAGGAAAATCAGAAAAGAAGCTCTTAAAAATCCTCTGATAAATTCTGGGGAGCTGGCTACCATGGTTCAATCAACGTCTGGAGTTCACAATACTAGCAGAACAATTAGATATGCCCTGAATAAGTAAGGGCTCCACGGTAGAGTTCCAAGAAAGAAGCCATACATCAGTGAAATGAATCGCAAAAAGCGCCTTGCTTTTGCTAGGGAGTACGTACAGAAACCCACCCTTAAGCTTTTGGGAAAATGTCATATTTTCTGACGAAAGCAAATTTAATTTATTTTGTTCAGATGGTCGAAGGACAATATGGCGACATCGTAATAAAGCCTTAAAGAAGCAAAATGTTTTAACAACTGTAAAGCATGGTGGAAGACATGTTATGGTTTGGGGGTGTGTTTCCTACCATGGTGTGGGAAATCTTGTGAGCATCAAAGGCATTTTAAATGTGGAAGGCTATGTGAACATTTTGAGATGTAATTTCAGTGTTAGTGCCAAAAAAATGGGAATCCAGTATCAGTACTATTTCTAGCAGGACAACAATCCAAAACATACTGCGAGAAGAACAAAGGAGTGGTTAATATTTAATGTTCCAAGACAGCTTCACACTCCTCCTCAGTCACCAGATATAAATATCATTGAAAATTTATGGCACACCCTTGACCAAAATGTAAGAAAACACCATATCACTAGTGGACATCACCTTAAACAACTTCTTGTTCAAGAATGGGAACAAATAAACCTAGATTTAATTAAAAACCTAGTACATTCAATGCCCAGACGTCTACAAGCAATTATTGATGCAAATGGTCTATTTACAAAATATTAAAACTATTAAAATTTAAAATAAACTTGTAAATTTGGAAGTGTGCAAATACTTTTTTCCAAGCACTTTTATTGTTTTAATTATTTTGTTTGATTATGAAGTGTTTTTATTTTTTTTAAAAAGATTTTTTCAGTTTTTAATAAATTTACTTTTCATTTTTGCAAAGGAAAGCGAAGTTTTTTGTTTCGTTGAACTACTTTATTCATAAAAACGTGTTGTGCAAATACTTTTTTCCCTCACTGTAAACATTGGCAGATAGCAGTCAGTCCTATCTGACTAATGGATAAGTAGCTTTAATATTTATATCTTGTTGACCATAGAACTAATTCATGACACTCCCCCACTTTAAAGTCATCAGAGGTTGGCAAAAAATAACACAAGGCCCACTTCCTAAACTTTCTCTTCCCCTCCCCTAGTACTAGAATCTGTACTGCCACGACTTAATGCAGCAGACAAGAAATGTTAAGAGTATATTACGAAGAAGTATGTTGCGAACTTTAATTCTTTCTTGACCGAACCTGACCTTTCCTAACCAACTTGTTGCATCTACGGCCGTGAAATATTAACTGTCACAGAAAAGAAATTGTTGTAAGTAAAATATAACCGGAATGTATTTTATGGCTATCAATTAAAAAAAATTATAACGGTGAAACCTGGTTACTAATTACAATAATGAGAGTCCAGCCTAAATTACACTTTAAAATGTTATCAAGATAAAGAATTTGAACATTTCAAAATAGGAAGGAAGGTAGAATAAAGTGAATGATTGTAGGATGCTGGATTGTTTTACCATCATAATGTTAATGGAAACTAAATACTAAATATAATGATTATTAAATAGTAAATACAGGAAATAGGGTAAGTAGAGAATAGATAAAAAAAGTGGAAGTTATTTCAACAAATGTTTAAGAAAAAAGTCCAGATATTCAGCACACTGACAAAACAAAACAATCTTTACAAGAATATATTTTTAAAAGCCTAGAGGGCGTATTAATGCCTTTTTAACTGAAACGATAATGAATGATTTATTTACATATTATTTCATGAACATAATTAATGTGATATTTACTTCAACTGATTTTTTCAGAACTAGCATACTGTCAAAATTTATGAAAAGAACTAAAATTAAGTTGTTATTTGAAAGGTATATAAACTTATGTTTCTTTCTAATACAAAGAAATTCTCAAACAACCAATAAACCATAGGAATATAAAAAAAATTATGCAAAAAGGTTTACAAAAAAATACTCATTAGCAGAATGAAAGGAGATTCCAAAACAAAATTTGTTCATAAAATCTATCTAAATGTTAATATTCGATAAAGTAATACCTACATAGAACATTTTGAAACTTAAATTGCAAACCTGCCATTTGACTGTCAGGTTTAAACTTAGATTAGAAAATCTGTAATAAGTCGATAGTATATCAACCAAAGAGAACCGAAGCGATATATGCTTTTTTTGTATAAAACTTGTAATAAGATGTCAACCTACAATGTCATTGTACAATGTAAAAGAACAATTATTAAAGGTGATAAATAGTCGTAACTCAGTCATTTTAAGATTTTTATTTTGAATGAAAATGAATGAATGAAAAAATATTTTATTATTCTGGGACTGTTATTCCTTTAGAACAAATTATAAGTAAAGATTGTATGTATGTGTGGTGACAATTAGATTAAATATTTACAATAAGAGTCGACTAAAAACAAAAATATTGAAGAAGAGAAAGAAAAGAACAAGAAAATTGTACATATATATAAGAAACTAAAATAACCTAAATAAATTGAGGTAGCCTCTGGGGGTGCTTGAGCGTGTCGAATATCAGCAGGGATGGAATTCCAGAGGGAGGTGGCTTGTATTGCAAAGGATTTGTCAAACGCAGCAGTTCGGTGAGGAGGCGGATAGAGGTCGGAAGTACGAGTTTTGGTGGGATAGGATTGGATGGAGCATTTGAATTGTAAGCTGTGAAAAATATAGGAGGGTCGATGAGTTCTAATGATCTGGTACATAAAGGTGGCTAGGAAGTACTGACGGCGATAGGATGAGTAGTGCCACTTAAACTCGGTGTAATACTGGGTAATATGCGTATCCCTCGAGATTCCGAAAACAAATCGTAGAATTGGCATCGAAGGAGAATTTTAATCCCTTGACCTCTTCTGTAAGATCTTTAATGGCAGTAAGTAACAGTTGTGACGTGGCGTCGACATTTTGTTGTGGAGCCAATCTTGGGGGCTAAACTTCTATCATACGCTCTGTACTGAGGTCTAGACACCACACTTTATTGTTGCCAATATTTTAACCCAAGCATAATGGCCATCATCAGGGCTGAAAAAATTATATTATCAGAGATATAATATAATAAAAACAGATAATAATTGGTAATTGTAAATATTGATGGATGACAGATGAGATAGTCAAACGAAATACGAAATATATGCATAATCAACTTATAAGAAATGTAATATTTAATATTACTCACCATGTTACCGTCACTGAAGATGTTCAAGTACTAGATCCTAGGTAGTAGGTACCACCTTGAGTCGATATTAAGTACTTCCTGGTGATTGGTGAGCTTCTCAGTAACATTGGTTACAAACCTCTGCCTCACGTTTTCTTCTTTAAGGCGCTCAACAGCAAATCGTGGCGCAGGTTTCCCAGATCTTCCCCTAGTTCTTAACGCAATCTTTTGTCGGTATTTCACCCTCACCAAATGATGGTCTGAACCACAGACAGCCCCACGAAAACTTCTGACATCAGCTATTTCCGTTGCGTGTCTTGCCTGGATCAGCACATGATCAATCTGGTTGCGTGTTTGCCCATCTGGAGATACCCAAGTCTCCTTGTGTATGTTCTTATGAGGGAAGTAAGTACTGCTGACTGACATGTTCCTTTCCATAGCGAAGTCCACTATTCTGAACCCATTGTCATTGGTTTCCTCATGCTTACTGTGGGGTCCTATGGTGGGTTTAAAGAAATCTTCCTTGCCTATTTTGCGTTAAGATCGCCCAATATTATCTTCACATCATGACCAGGCATCAAGTCGTAGGGTCTCTCCAAGGCTTCGTAAAAAGCGTCTTTTGTCTCTTCATCGGCATCTTCTATTGGGGCATGTGCGCTAATGATTGAGATGTTAAAGAACCTCCCTTTTAATCTTATCGTGCATATTCTCTCACTCACGGCTTCAAATTTCAGGAGGGCATCTTTTATTCATATAGTCAATCAATGTACAACAAATAATGTTGTACATTGATTGACAATTAATGTTTACAATATAACCAATTGTAATAAATAGACATGATAAATAGTAAATATTATACAATATTTTTGATAAACAATTATTAACTTAACCAACAAGATCGGTTTTACGCAAAACACTGTAATTTCAATCACATTCCTTAGAGTTTCGTAATGTGCTATCCCAATCTTCTTGAGATCTAATGCTACTAAACTCGTTGAAATCCTTTTTTTCATAGGATTATGCATAATGCTCCGGATGCCAATGTACAACTAAAATTCGAACTCTCTTCAACTGTATCACACTTCTAAGTCAAGACCTCATCCGTGTGCTTCTCCCTTAATATATCAACCTAACAGATATTCATAGACATTCTTGTTAAAAATACTTCTCAGATATTTAGTATAGTTACCAGACAGTCCTGCAGTGTTAATATTACAGTTTTTACTAGCCAATATTAATAAAACAAAGTGTCCGAGGCAAGGGTAGCTGAGTCGGAGAAGTGGAGACAAGTTTCCAGGTATCAACTTAATTCCGGCAGCCACCACCCAAACAAATAGGTTTGGGGCCATTATTATTATTTTTATTTTATCCTCTCTGTTTAAATTGCGTTATTTAAAGTAATTGAAATTTTCATTAAAATGGTTAGTTGTAAATCGTGTGGTAAAACGGTGGCCCCAGAAGAATAGGCTAAATTAGCCTTGTGATATATCGATTATACCAATTAGTGATTCAGTTGTATTAACCTAGCAGTGTAATCTTTTATGATGAATAAAAGAGATGTGATTACTAATAGTGTAGTATTGTGTTTTAATATTCAAATACTTAACATTTGGCGACGAGGATGGGATTTAAGTGCTTAGACATTAAAGAAACAATTTCTTTAAATGAGAGGTCCTTTGGGTTTTTTGGTATTGCTAAATTTCTAATAAGAATGTAGGTTTCTGCACTCACCTTTATAAGCAGTTCTGGTACATACTTACTTTCTTCAATATCATGTGCAATGAAATAATGTTCTAACCTTTCAATAAAAGTGTCCCAGTCATCCCCATGTAAACGAAATTCAATTTTACAAGTCTTCATCCTGTAGCTTGCTCCTTTATTCTTTGTTTTAACTTGGGTTACCTTTTCACTAATTTCCTTGCTTTCTTCTTTATTTTCACTTCTCAATTCCTGCACTAAAATTTGTCTTAACCTATCTACAGAATAAGCCTCATCAAAAACCAAACCTAATTTTTCTAGTTCTAAAATCAAGTCTTGTTTCTTTAATTCGTCCACCCACGAAGTACCTTTCTTTATTACATTTATCCTCGTCGCCAAATGTTAAGTATTTGAGTATTAAAACACAAAACTACACTATTAGTAATCACAACTCTTTTATTAATAAAAAGATTAATTTCCGTAGGTAATCTAGAGCCTGTGACGGTTAGTAGTTGGGTGACACCTATAGTGCCTGTTCTAAAATCCAATAGGGAAGTTAGAGTGTGTGGTAACTTTACGTTAACCGTCAATCCATATTTAATTATCAAGCGTCAACCTGTGCCAAGCAAAAATCATTTATATCATAACCGAAATATCTAGGTGCTTAAATGACGCAGGCTAAAAAGTAAATGATAGAGAGAGTGAATTTTTAAAAAGTAAGTTGGAGATTTTAGGATTTTTTCTGGATAAACAAGGAATTCATCCAGCAGAAAGTAAGGTTATTGCAGTCATGGGTGCTCCAAGGCCTAAAGATTGCAAACAGTTAAGGAGTATTCTTGGATTGGTGAATTATTATGAATCATTTCTGAAGCACAGAACTGATAAACTGAGCTGTCTTTATGATTTGCTGAAGTCAGAAAAGTGATATTGGTCAGTCAGCGATCCTTTCTCATAAATTCGAGAACGGAGAGGAAAAACCCATAGCATCTGCATCGAAAGTAATTCTGGTAACTGAGAGACATAGGGCAATCATTGATAAAGAAGCTGCTGCCATCATCTTTGGCTTCAAGAAATTTTACCAATATATCTATGGAGCTCACATCATTCTTAGAACAGACCATGAAACCTTTGAAATATATTTTTGGAAATTACAAAAATCTATGTCACAATTCAAAATAGATTACAAAGATGGGCTTATTATCTTTCAGGGTTCACTAACAGTATAGAAGTCGTAAGGTCCTCAGGAAACGGTAACTGTGATGCCTTGTCAAGATTGCCTTTAACTGACCACACTCCGGTATTTGGTACAGAATTTACAGCTCTTAACTATGTGGAAGAGGGGATGCCTTTGTTGAATTACAAGCAAGTGGTCACTGAATCAGTGAAAGATAGAATATTAAGCAAGGTGGTAAATTGGGTAGCCAACTGAAAATAAGACTTTATCTGATATCGAAAAGAAGTTTTTCTCAAATAAACTAGAATTATCGCTGGATAAAGGATGTCTCATGTGGGGAATAAGAGTGGTTATACCAGAATCACTTCAACTCATCTTACTAAAGCATTTACACATATCACATCTTGGTATAACTAGGATGAAGCAAATGGCAAGATATTATTTTTGGTGGCCCAAATTGGATTTAGATATTGCAAATTACGTTGGAAGTTGCTTCACCTATGTAGTAAATAAATAGAATCCAACCAAAATTGCGAATTCGCAGTGGCCCTATCCAAGCAAAGCTTGGTTTCGACTACACGCTGATTTCTTAGGCCTTTACGAAATAAGATGTTTTTAGTTGTCATAGATGCCCCCAGCAAATGGCCAGAAGTTTTTGACAAGAGAGATAATACGAAAGCCTGGAAGGTTATTCAAATGTTCAAAAAGTTATTTGTCAGACACGGATTGTGTGATCATTTGGTTACTGATGGAGGACCCCAATTCACAAGTAGTTTATTCAGAAAATTTCTGAAAAGGAATGGTAAAAGGCATACAGTAACACCTCCAAAACATCCAGCAACAAATGGAGCTGCAGAAAATTTTGTTGGTACGTTCAAAGATAAAATGTGCAAGACGTTAAAATCTGGACTATCTGTCGAGTATTCTATAGACAATTTTCTCTTAGACTACAGGCGAATAAAGCATTCTACTACCGAAAGATCACCAGCTTATCTTATGTATAAAAGAGAAATTAAAACGAAATTTGAGCTTCTGAAACCAAATTTGAATAATGATGTGGAACTTAAGCAGT